AGTACTATAGCAGTTTGTGATTGTAATTCATGTTTATCTATTAACGATAGTCTCCAACCTCCAAGAGCTCTTGTGAATCTAAGCTGATATTCAGACTTCTAAAAAGGTTTTATCTGAACTGTTGGGGAGCCTGAACAGGTTTTAATATCTGTAAGACAAATAGATCCAGCACAAGAAACTCAGAGGCAAACTGGACATGCCACACTAAGCCAAAATTTATTCTTTTAAAATCAACATTCTTCATTGCTGTTGCACTGAACTCTTTGAAGGCCTCTAAGCAAAGTAAAATCTATGTTTGATGGAGTTTAGAGAGTGAGCAGTCCAGCCTTTATAAAGCCTTCAGCCTCATCTTGTGGGCATTCATGCTGGGTACTTGAAAGTTCAGGCTGTCTTTAAGTCTCATCTGCAGCCATTACAGAGTCCTGGTGAAATCTAAGAACCATGCTTTGCCCATGATGGTCAGTATATGTCCATATGGACATATATAGTCCATATGGTCACTCATATGGACTCCAAGGGACAGCTCATGATGAGGAAGGATGGAGATGATGAAAGTGCAAAATGACAAATGATGATACTGTTGAGAAGGTTAATGAGGGGCTTTTTTATTTTATGGTGTCATGAAAGAAGAACAGTGTTGAATCAAGAAATTAAAGTGATATCAAATATATAGTTGATAAAAGACATGTTGATTTCTGACCAGGTCACTGCTGTGGCATGGAGGAATCCAAGAAGGTATGAAGATTAAAACCAGGATATCTGTCGGGAAATGAAAACTACCCAGAATGATCATAACTAATGCTAAAATGCATTTCAGAAGGAACATTGGCAATTTCTAAGATTCAGCCTACGTTCCTCCCCAGGATGGCCTGTCCTAACTAAGCTCAAAGATTCTTAAACACTTTTTATCTCCAGCTAATACCGATAGATTGAGGAACTTAAAAGCCTTGCAAGGAGACCTGTCAAAAGTCTGATTTAAGGCTCGACGAGTTTTTCTGGCGGAACTGTTGCTTCCATGTGAGGAATGATCACATTACTGAACCTGTTCCACCCGCTCTCTCCTGAGGAGGCAATAAGAGCCCTGCTCTGTCTGAGGCTGGAAGGAGCCTTGGCTTGGTGCTCCTGCAAAACGTGGAGCATCTAGAAGGAGAAAAAGGTGTGGGGAGGAGGGCAAGGAGGAAAGGGAGTGGGAAACCGGAGGCGGTCTGCTAGGGAATGGTTAGAATGTTAAAGATGAAGGGCTGAGGGGAGAGGAATAGGCTGGAAAAGTAAAAGAAAAGAACAAAATGAAAGAAACACACACACACACACACAAAGAGGCTGCACGCTCTCAGCCAGCCTTGGCACAGTCCGCCGGCAGCGGGGACCTTCAAATGACCACATCTTCTGCTGCAAGGATTGCAACCTAATTCAGACAATGTTGGCCAAACAGTATCACCAGGAAAGCAGGATTTCACTGTTCCCCTACCCAGCCCATGCCACTGCGCTGTGAACTTTGGAAAGTAATTAAAAGTATTTAAATTCTGACTTTATTAAGTGCCACGAAAAACCAAAAGAAATCCACCCCCAAACAAGCCCTGCACACCAAATGCCAAGAATGTTAATCACATGCAATTAATCCCAAGCGGCAGAGTTGTAACTATAAACTTTTCAATAGCAAAAATCAACGTATCTTCATATTCTCTGCCCGCATCCTCCCAGTTCAACGCGCTACGACGCTGTTAAACGCCTGCTGTAAAAGACAAGGTACAAAGTAGCCGAGATAACGCTGGGTTCGGTCAACTCCTCTCCCCCGGCAGCTGTGCCACCGCTGCACCGCAGGGGTGACCCGATGCCGCCTCAGCCCTTCCCCCGGAGGTGTGCAACGGGGCGGGAAGGGGCTGTGGCAGCCGGGGGGTGTGTGTTTGGGGGACCCCCGGGGGAGTGTGTGTGTGCCATGCCCCGGTGTTTGCGGGTGCTCTGCAACCCGGCACTGGCGTTGTTTTCCCCGCCGGCCCCCCCCTTCGCTCTCCGCCTCTCGG